CCTGCGGGTCCTCCGCGGCGTGCTGCGGGGCCTGGCCGCCGCGGCCGCGCTGGCACCTCCAGGCTCGCCCGCGGAGGCCGCGGCGGCCGCGGGCACTTGGCGCCTGCTGGCGTGGCTGGCGGAGCCGGTGGGCGCTGACGGTCGTGGGCCCGTCCGCCTCGCGGCCGCCCTGGAGCCCGCGGCGGGTGGCAAGGCCCACCTGTTGAGCTGGATGCCGCTCCGCCGCGACGCGCTCCGCCTCGCCAGGACCGTCGCAGGCAGCCTGGCCGCCTGCGCAGGGGCGGGCGGGCAAGACGTCGCACGGGCTCTGGACGCTGCGCTCGGAGACGTCTCTGCTGGAGCCGCGGCCGCGGCCGCGGCGGCTCTGGCGACGGCCAGCACGCCTGGCGACCAGGACGAGGCCGCGGACTGCCTGCGTGCCTCGCTGAAGATTATCGCAGGAGCCCAGGGCACAGGGTCGGCGGTGCTAGCGCGGCTGGACTGCTCGCTCCGCCCCTTCCGCGGCGCGGGCGGCGGCCCCTGCGGCGCCGGCAGAGCCTGGGTGGCTTTGCTGGCTGGGCGCCCGAAGCTCCAGCAGCACGTCTTCGGGCTCCTCGAGGTCGCGTTCTCGGCCGGCGCAGGCGCGGCTGCACTGCTGGCGCAGGCGCAGCCGCTCGCGGAGGACGTCCTCGCCATCCTGGGCGCGGCCGCTGGCGGTGATGAGCGGAACCTGTCCCCCGCCGCCCGGCGCAGCGCCGCCGCGGCGGTGGCTCACCTGGCCTCCGGCGCTCGCGCGTGCTGCGCCGGGGGCCAGCTGCAGGCGTGGCTGTCGAGGTGGTCAGGGTGCAGCTCCTGGGAGGTCAGATTCAGCATCGGCGCCGGTTTACCTGCAGGCGGAGACAGACCCACTCCGGCATAATCCCATACAGTTCCGCTTGCTCTCGCTTCATCTGGTCTGGTCGGGTTTCGCCCTGGGTTTCGTCTTGGCCCATCTGGCTCAATGCCCCCCAATCGGGCCTACTTGCCTTTCGCCCAGGCCCCCGACGTCATGTTTTTTCCCAACGTCAGCCCCCAGAGGTCTCGACCCACTCCCCAGGCCCAGCTTTTCATCCTGGGTTGTTTTTTACGGTCCTGGGGCCTGGCGAGGGCCCCCAGAAGCCAGAATCGGCTAACAACCTCCCGTCGTCATTTTTCCCCAACCCTCCCTTGGTTGGGTTCTCGTTTTGAATAGTGCAGTGGGGTCTCCACATCCTCCGGCTCCTCACCCACCCCGCTCTCCTCTCGGCTTTCTCCTCTTGCCTCCTTCTTGGGGTCGCCACTTTCGAGGGCTGCTGGGGGAGCCAGCACAGTGGGGCCACACGCAGATCCAAACGGGACCTCGCCATTCTTGGGGGTCTGCGAAGTGTGAAACCGTCGCCACTTTCCAGGGCAGCTGGGGGAGCCAGCACAGTGGGGTCCCACGCAGATCCCAAACGGGCCTCGCCATCCTGAGGGGGCTGCGAAGTGTGAAACTGTCGCCACTTTCGAAGGCTGCTGGGGGAGCCAGCACAGTGGGGCCACACGCAGATCCAAACGGGACCTCGCCATCCTGAGGGGGGGATTGCGAAGTGCGAAACTGTCGCCACTTTCGAAGGCTGCTGGGGGAGCCAGCACAGTGGGGTCACACGCAGATCCAAACAGGACCTCGCCATCCTGAGGGGGGGTCTGCGAAGTGTGAAACCGTCGCCACTTTCCAGGGCAGCTGGGGGAGCCAGCACAGTGGGGCCACACGCAGATCCCAAAAAGACCTCGCCATCCTGAGGGGGGGTCTGCGAAGTGTGAAACCGTCGCCACTTTCGAGGGCTGCTGGGGGAGCCAGCACAGTGGGGCCACACGCAGATCCAAACGGGACCTCGCCATCCTGAGGGGGGGGGCTGCGAAGTGTGAAACCGTCGCCACTTTCGAGGGCTGCTGGGGGAGCCAGCACAGTGGGGCCACACGCAGATCCCAAAACGACCTTGCCATCCTGAGGGGGGGTGCTGCGAAATGCAAAGCTGTCGCCACTTTCGAGGGCTGCTGGGGAGCCAGGGGACCTCACCATCCCTGAGGGGGGGGTGGCTGTGTAGTGTGAAACTGCAGCCACTTTTGAAGGCTTTGGGGTGGTGGTGGCAATACAGTGGGGTCCCACGCAGACCTCGAGGACCTCGCCACCCCTCGGGGTTGGCTGGCCGCGCAGGTGTTGATCTTTGTGGCATTAAAAACACGCTACACTTCATTGTCTAGTTGCGTCCCCGCCTCTGTAACCTTATCTTGGCCATGCTCCATCATCTCGCTGCGTCTGCCGAGGTGACTATTCTTCAACCCCGATGTCTTCCTTGTGCTTCCCCTTCCCAGTGCAATGCCTCCTAGTCTTTTGCACCTCTGCTCTGCGAGACGACCACGCACAGTTCGCACGATACATACAGATGCCTATATCCAAATATGTTTCTGTAGACGTACACGTATTTGTATGCGTGTATATACAAACCAATGTATATGTCTAGTTATTGGTGTACGTCTGTGATTGTATATGTTCAGCTGCAGTTTCACGCGCACATATATACATATGGATGTTTAGGTATACATGCATATGTTTATGCACGGATGTCTATATCTGACTCTATATATATATATATGCATACGCACATTCATATGTAGGTGTATGTATGTACGTCTACGTATACACACAAGTAAATGTTTCTGGGTAAATGCATGCTCATATATATATATATATATATATATATATATATATATATGCACGTGTGTGTCTTTGCTAGTTATATATGTATGCATGTTTGGAACGTATATGCATACGCATGTGTTTGTGTACATGCATATGCATATGTATATGCATTAGTTCATGTATATATATATATATATGTATATATGTATATGTATATTTATATGCATGTACAAATGTACAGGTCTAGTATTGTAAATAAGGAGTTGTAGGTGCAGCTGTACAGGCATATGCATGTATTTGAATATGTTTGTATAGATGTACATGTGCATGTATACGCATACGTATTTGCGCATGTGTGCACATATATACACATATTTACATCCACGCATATACATATATATATATACACATAGATGGATCCGTCCGCCGTGCACCGTCTCTTGCAGTGATGCTGTCGCATTACTGTCGGCGCATTTTGATATCATCCCGAGGTGCCGATGGGTTGGGTACGTCGCAGGGTAATGTTCACGACGCGAGCGCGCCTGGGAACCGCTCTCACGAATACCTCGCATGGGTTGCCTCCAGCAGGTGGCTCTGGCGGCAGCTGGGCTCCGGCGGCGGCCCCGCCCCCGACGAGCGGCGGGCGTCCGCGGAGGCCGCGGGCGCAGAAGGTGAGCTGAGACGACGGTAGCTCGCGGTTGGCCCCTGGACCCGCTCGTCCCAGAGGTCCCGCAGGTCGGCGGTCCCACGGGTCCCGCAGGTCCCACAGGTCCCACGTGCCCCACAGGTCCCACAGGTCACGCAGGTGCCACACGTCCCTTAAGGCCCTCCAGGTCCCAAGGGTCCCGCACGTAGTACAGGCGTCCCTCCAGGTCCCACAGGTCCCACAGGCACCACAGGTCCCAAAGGTTCCACAGGTCTCATACACGTCAAACGTGCCCCACAGGCCCGACATTTCCGTTGTGTTTGGGGCTCTCACCAATCACATCTATGTTATGGCAGCGCAACCCTACTTAAACGTCATGTTGTAAGCACACAGCCGGTCATGAATGTACCGTAGCTCGTCTCTCATTGAGCGCAACAAATTTTTGATCACAAAAAGTTGCACGGAGTTGCGAAGGAGTTGTCCCACACCATCTTGAGTGCAATATGAATCGGTCGATGCTGAACGATCTGACAGTTCGGAAACGGCCGATCGTTCAAGGTTGAATTCAAGGTTGAACGATCCTGGCGGTGTCAGGAGCCAACTCCGAAGTTGACGGCCCGCGAACCGGGCCCTGGAGGCGTCAGACCCTGGGTGATTCCTTAGCTGATGACGGCGGCGGTGATATCGATGGCTAATCGGCGATTGGAGTTCTACCAGCTTCCAGACCCTAGATTCCTTACCAATGTACGCACCGTTGCCCCAACTCGTCGCCAACCACCGTCGCCTCACCCTGGGATCTGCCATCTCAAACAAAAAACATGGAGACGTGGTGGAAAATCGCGACCCGAGCCCTAGGCCCCATCCTTCTGCGGCACTTCTCGTGGCGCATCGCTCTGTGAGGGCCCCCGGCCCGAAACCGGGCGGAAACGCCCTGCTCGAAAACGGTATTTCTCGTGGCGGATCGACCTGTGAGGGCCCCGGAGACCGAAACTGGGCGGAAACGCTCAGCTCGAAAAATGGGAGACACCAGGCTCTGAGCGCAACTCGCCGACCTCCGAGGCCGCGGGCGCGGAAACCGCGCTCCGTGCCGTGCTCGGCCTCTTCGCCGGCGCGGAGCCGGCGCTGCTGGCGGGGGCGCCGCCGCAGGCCGCGGGCACGGGCGCGGCGGCCCTCGGCGGGCTGGCGCGGCTGGCGGCGGCGGGCGACAGCGGGGCGTACCGGGACGCCCTCGCCGACCTGCGCGCGCGGCTGGATCTCGCCGCGGCCGTGGCCGCCGCGGCCGCGTGAGGCCTCCGAGAGCCGGAGTTTTTTTGTGGCTGCGGCGTGTGCCCACTCAATGCAGGCGGTGTACCGCCCCCTATCTGCACGGCGTGGGCGGCGGCCCCTGGCGGCGGGGCCCGGCCTCCCCGCGGCCGTGGCCGCCGCCGCCGTGGCCGCCGCGGCCGTGGCCGCCGCGGCCGTGGCCGGAGGCCCCCAGGGGCTGGCGCTGGTGCGCGCCAGGATCGGAGGAGGAAACGGTGCCGATGATGCTGCTGCCCCTGCCTCGCGTGCGCCCTGGGTGGGGGCTCCCGGGGGGCCCTCTCGCTGCCGCTGCCGGAGTCGCCTCGAGGTGTTGTGGTCAGGACGCGCCCGGGGAGCGGCGGTGTCTGTGCCCTGCGGATTTCCCCACCGGAGGCGGTGTGCCGCCGCTTCTGCGGCGTGGGCGGTGGGCCCTTGGCCTTGGCGGCGGCGGCGCTGGCCGTGGCTGGGGCGTCCGCGGCGGGCCCAGGCGAGGCCGTGGACTGCCTCCAGGCCTCCCCGCATATCGCACCGAAATAGTCCAGGCCGACCGGGGGGTGGTGGTGGTTTGCCGTGCGGCGGGCAGCGCGGCTGGCGGCGGCTGGTGGGGCCTTCCCCGAAGAACGCGGCCTCCAGTCTTGTTGGCGACTGGGGCCTGGGGCCGCGTCGGGGATTCGGGGGCCATAGAAAAGGGCCCGAGACGAAACTCTGGTCCAGGAGAACTCGGTGGGCCCACGTCTTGGACAAGATCATGGCATGCAGCCTTCGGAGATTGGAGCTGGCTGGGCGTCTGAGGTGGCCCAGCATTGGTTCAAGCGGCCAGGAGGGGGGGTGCGAGGTTCGAGGTTCTGGGTCCGAGAAGGCGCTTTGCCTCTTTTTCGGTCTCTATAGGGGCCGCCTTCGGGCCCCGGGACCGCCGAACACGTATCCTGGGTGAGCAACTGGCTGTACCAGGTGTACCCCCTAAGAGGGGTCCGGACCGATTCTGAGCCGATTTGGCGCCATCCCCCCCTCTTGACAGAAATTCCTCGGGACTCAGCCAGCTCCGAACCCCTGGCCGCCTCCACTTCGGAGAGGCTCCGCGGGCCTCGGTTCGAGCGACGGAGGAGAACGGGGTCGCTTTCGCGGACGCCACGCGCGCGAGCTGAAGGTGATGCGTAATCGCCCTCGTTTCCAACAGAGCGTGCCGCGCTGGCGGCCCGCGTAAGCCACCGCGTAAGGTCGCTATCGCAGGCCTCGAGTTTGACACCGACACCAGTATCGGCGGTGTGCCTCCACCGAGGGAAGAAGACCCCGATCTCGGCGATGGTGGTATTATTCTGGCTTTCAATGTGGCCGAAATTCTACCACCAACACTGAAATCTAGGATCACCTTCCCCTGTGGAGGCAACCCCGTGTGTTGGTGTTGGTGCCCATTTCCAGGCCTCCAACGCTACAGTGGAAGCCCATGCCAAGAAACACCCTGCTTGCCTCCAGGGTGCCCTGGGTTTCTTGGGCTTCGATGGTTTTGCTATGGAAGCTGTGATGATCCCACACCAAGAATCAATGGACGTCTTCGGGTTCCAGGGTTGAGTTTCTTGTGGAAGGTGTCTTGCGCTCGAGCTCCTGCACGTCTTCCTGCGACAGGCCCCTTTCTTCTCGCCGCCCACTTGGAGGGCGCCTGGAGGGCACCCGGTGCGCCAGGTGCGCCCAGAGCGCCAGGTGCGCCAGTAGGACCGTGCAGCTGGTGCGGCGCCAGAGGCTCTCGCTGGGGCTTGGTTGAGCCACACCATTGGGCAGAGAGCAGGGCGCGAGAAGGGGGGGGGGGAGTCTCTCGGGGGCTCGTCGGCATCTCGCCCTGGGCGGAAGCCGTCAGTCAGGCTGGGCCGAGGTGTAAAACGAGGGTAGCCCCGCCGACAGAAGTCGGCAGAAGCTGGCGGAAGCAAAACCGGCCCCCAGAGAGACCAGTGCTTGCGAACCCATGGTTCCCGGAGCTGGCCATGTGCCCCCGAGATTTGCTGGCGGAACAACGCAACATGCTGATTGTTCTAGCTGTTTTCGGCCTCTGGGGGCCCCCCCAAGCCTCAGGGCCGTCTGGGCACGACTCGAGATGACCAGCCGGCCCTGGGAGAAGGATCGAGAGGTTCCAGGATGAGGCGTTCTCGGCCAGTGTCTGTCACTGGCACCTTTGCAGATGGATCCGTTTCAAGAAATGCCGCGCGGAGATAATTAGGATGTGGGCTCCAGTCGTGATTTTCCACGACGGTGTATTTTTCGGGGCGTCGGACCTCCGGGAGGATCGAGGACGCAGTTTTCTGAAACGCTTGTGGCTCTCTTGGGCTCCCTCCTGGGGAGGCTCCTGGCCGCCACGGACACGGACCAGACGGAGGAGGAGGCTGAAGACGACGCCACGACGCCCTTCCCGTCGAGCCCAGGGCCGCGCGCTGACACGAGGCAGGAGAGGAGCGCGCGGCGGCGGCGCTCGAGGCGGCGGGTCCGTGGTGCAGCTCCGCGCAGCGTCTTTGGGGGGCGCTCCGCCGCCGACCGCGGCCGCCTCCAGAGGCCTCGCCGCTGCGACCGCCTCGGCGCCCGCCGCCCAGGCGCCCCGCCCCCTGGGCGGGGCTCTGCCTCCGCGCTTCTCCCCCCCCCCCCCACAGGCCCCCTCCCTGGCCGCTGGGCCCCCGGCCGCGCCCCCCCCTCCCCCCCCCCCCCCCCCCCCCCCTCCCTGGCCGCGCAGGCCCCCCCCCCCCCCCCCCTTGTGCCTAGCAGACTCTCCCCTTGTGCGGCGCAGCCCCCCCCCCCCCTTGCCGCGCAGGCCCAGCCCCACTATTCCCACTGCGCACAACACCATTGGGGTCCCTGTGGGACTTCCTGCTCCGCCGCTGCACGCGTCCGCGGACAGAGAGGACACCTGCGCAATGGGAAGGAATGGGCAGGGGGGGCAGGATGTCGGACGTGGCGCTGGCACACCCAGCTTGCATGCCTGCCCTCTCCGCCCTTCGCCTTCTGCCGGGTGCGCCCCGCCGCGCCGCCGCGCGCGGGGCGGCGACGGCGCTGCTCCGTTTCCTGCTCCTCCTGCCCCTCGCTCTTTTTGCTCGAGGTCGGGGGATGAGGATGAGGATGAGGATGATGAGGATGATGGGGACCAGGGTGAGAAGGGGAAGGAGGATGCTGATGATGCTGATGATGCGGATGATGATGCGGATGATGATGGTGATTATGTTGTTGATGATGATCAGGTTGCTAATGGTAATGATAATCACAATAATGTAGCACCCCGCAGATGCGGATAAGAGTGAGGGGGCGGCGAGGCCGTCGGCAGTCTGCGAGGCTCTGAAGGAGCCTGCCGCAGGCGCCTAACTTTTTCAAAGTATGCAGTTGAGCCCGCCGCAGGCGCCGATTTTTTCGTTAAAGTAATTTGAATTGGTCGCGGGGTGGGTCGCGGGGTGGGCCGCGGGTTGGTCGCGGGTGGGTCGCGAGGTGGGTCGCAGGCCAGGTCGCGGGGGGAACGACGACAACATCAACAGCAAAACCAAACACAACCCCAACACATCAAACACAACAGCACCACCACCACCAACAACAAAACCACCACCAACAACAACACCACCAGCAACAACATCAGCAACAACACCAACAACAGCATCAGCGGAAACACCAACAGCAGCCACAACGCCACCACCAACAACAACACCACCAGCAACAGCAGCAACAACACCAACAACCCGCACCGCAGAACCTCACTTCAGCCACGCGCCCAGGGACAGTGAATGACCTTTCGCCCCTCTCACCCTGATAATACTCATAATTATTGATGCTGATGCTGATGCGGATGCTGATGATGAGGCTGCTGATGATGCTGCTGAGAATGTTGATGATGAGGTTGACGACGGAATTTGCGATGGTGATGTGGATGATGCTGATGCTGATGATGACGACGATTATTGCTGGCTGGTGGTGGTGGTGATGATGAGGATGATGAGGATGAGGATGAGAATGATGAGGATGCTGATGATGATAATGGTGATGATGCTGATGATGATGATGATGCGGCTGGCGATGGTGATGATGATGAACATGAAAATGGTAGTGATGATAATTATGCTGATCATGCTGCGGCTGATGATGATGATGCTGGTGATGAGGTTGATGATGATGATGCTGCGGATGATGCTGCTGCTGATGGTGATGCTGCTGGTGATCATGCTGATGCTGCTGCTGGTGATGCCGATGATGCTGATGAGGTTGACGACGGAGTTTGCGATGGTGATGGTGATTATGATGATGATGATGATGATGATGATGATGATGATGATGATGATGATGCTGATGATGATGATGATGATGATTCCGATGCTGATGATGATGCTGATGCTGATGATTATTGCTGGTGTTGGTGGTGATGATGCTGAGGATGATGATTCTGATGCTGGCACAGCTGATGATTATTGCTGGTGGTGGTGACGATGCGGATGATGAGGATGAGGATGATGATGCTGATGGTGATGATGATGAGCATGAATATGGTAATGATGAGGATTCTGATGATGCTGATGATGCTGATGATGAGGTTGATGCTGCTGATGATGCGGATGATGATGCTGATGCTGAAACTGATGCTGCTGAGGATGCTGATGAGGATGCTGCTGCTGCTGCTGCTCATGATGATGAGGATGATGATGATGATGATGATGATGATGAGGATGATGATGCTGATGATGATGATGATGATGATGATGATGATGATGATGATGATGATGATGATGGTGGTGGTGGTGGTGGTGGTGGTTGTGGAGGTGATGATGATGACGAGGAGGAGGAGCAGGAGGGGAGAAAGGAGGAGGCGGAGGAGGAGGAGGAGGAGGACGAGGAGGAGGAGGAGGAGCAAGAGGAGGAGGAGGATGAGGAGGAGGAAGAGGAGGAGGAGGAGGAGGAGGAGGAGGAGAAGGAGGACCGATCATACTCGGTCTAGGTTTGCGCAGGCCTACGCAGCGTAGCGCCGCTGGCCGCCTCCCGCTGTGTTCATCGCGATATGTGCGTGCGTGTTGAATTCCACGAGATTCTGAGATGCCTCCTCATGACGCTAGACAGAAGGGCAGGAGGAGGGGTTGGTTTTCTCATGCTGAGCGTGCCATACCAAGACTCCTCCTTCTCTACCTCCGTGCTCGGTTCCCCGCCGTCCTTCTTTATTCCCCTTCCTTATCAATGATTCCCTCCTATCGCGCCACTGGACGCGTCCGACGGCCAGGCTTGTTGTTAGGCTGGGGACTGCCCTATTACTAACTCTTTTCAAAGCTAGCAACTCCGTCAGCTACATGGACGGAGAGCCGCTGATGTCCAAAACGCGTCTCTCGCTTCAGCGCCACAAGCCTTCGTTATTTCTTTTCCGAGAGTCGGAATGATGGAGGGCCAGTGGTTTCTCAAATGCGGCTCTCGCCTCAGCGCCGCGGGCATTCATCGTACAAGTTCCAAACAGCTCCGTGCAAGGATGGAGGGCTGGTCTGTTCCCGAGTGGTGCTTTCGCGCCAGCGCCGCACACGTTCGTGATGAACGCTTCCAGCAGTTACAATCCTCCCCCCTCCTTCTCCTCCTCCTCCTCCTCCTCCTCCTCCTAGTGCTCCTCTTTACTCCTCCCTCTCTTCCTCCTCCTCCTCCTCCTCCTCCTCATGATGAAGGGTGTGTTCGCGGAAGACATGTCAAGTTCCAGGACCCGAAGTTACATTACAGCGCCACCACTGCGCTCATGGAGGGCGGCTCTTTTGCAACATGTCGCTCTCGCCCGGGACCTCCGCACGTCTTTTGCGTTGAACAGTGAAGTTCTGCAATGCTTACACGGGTGGAGGCCACTTTTCATAACATGGGGTTGCCTCTCGCTGCTTCTTTAAATGCTCTTTGTCGTATATGTCCGCGTTTCTTGAAGCTGGAAGGTTGGAGGGTTGATCCTTTACAACTCGGGGCTTCGCCTGAGTAGCAGGCCCACCAGGCGCTGATCTTGCAGGGGGGGCGTTTCCCGTAGTGGATAGGAATACTTGCAGGGACATCTGAGGAGGGGGATTGGGACGGGAGGGTGCGTTGCAGAAACGGTAGAATGGATCCTGGCGTCTTCCGCCCCCCCTCCTCTGTCCACCCCGTCCCTCTCCTCCGTTCCCAGACCCTGGGCGTCGTGCTTTTTGTCAACACGGTTCCCCCTAGAGGTCCGAACCTCTTCCACGGGACCTGGGTTTAGCCCGAGTCGTTTCCTGACAGCCCTGGGGCCTGGAGAGGGTCCCGCCGGAGTGGGCCCTGGGAGGCCAAAAACGGTGAAACACCTTTCGTCGTGCTCGTCGACGGTGTTTGGTCCTCCGTGCCCCGTTCTTCCCTCGCCTACTCGGGCAGCTTAGACCTCCCTCCGCGCGCCCCCCCCCAGCGCTCAAGAGATGGCGGCGTCCGGGAGCCGCCCGCCGACAGCCGCGCCCGCCTCCCCCCAGACATCCTGCGGCGTGACTATGCCAGTGCGCGGCCCCGGAGGTCCCGTCCCCTTCACCGGGAGGTCGTTTTTTCGCGCAGGGTCCACTTGTAAAGGGAGCCAGTTTTTTGTGTAGACTTCGGCAAGTTTGCTTGCATGGCGGCCGAGAAGGACATCTGGATGAAGTGCGCAAGTTGGGACCCACCTGCGCGCCTCTTCGGCCCAGCGCTGTCTGGAGAAGCGGCGGAGACGGTGCGGGGGAAGGTTTTTTTTGTTGGGGGGGGGGGGGGGCGCGTTCGGGTAATTCTGCTTGGGTCAAACCAACAACGCCGTGTGGTCCAGTGGCTCGATGATAGCCCCCCGCACACGACACTATCAGGGGAAAGAGGCCAGCAGTTAGTGCTCATGGAGTAAGGAGGAGGAGGAGGAGGAGGAGGAGGAGGAGGAGGGAGGAGGAGGAGGAGGAGGAGGAGGAGGAGGAGGAGGAGGAAGACGAGGAGGAGGAGGAGGAGGAGGTGGAGGAAGACGAGGCGGAGGAGGAGGAGGAGGAGGAGGAGGAGGAGGAGGAGGAGGAGGAGGTGGGCGAGCAGGGGCTGCAACCGTCGGATCGTCGGATGCCTGGGCTCCCTGCGGAAGATGAAGCGCCCGAGGCCGGGCGCCAGTGCGCCCGCCGGCGGCGCGCGGCCGAGGCTCGTGGAGCCGCACGAGGGTGAGAAAGGAGGGGGAGGAGGGGGAGGAGGGGGAGGAGGGGGAGGAGGGCGAGGCGAGGGGGGAGGGGGAGGGGGAGGGGGGAGGGAGGAGGAGGAGGAGGAGGAGAGGAGGAGGAGGAGGAGGAGGAGGAGGAGGAGGAGGAGATTCCAGGATCCCTGGGGCCACCTGTGACTAGGCACTGCGATACTATGCTGAGCCCTGGCCCATGCTAAGCCCTGCTAGGCCTAGCCGAACCCTGCTAGGCACTGCTAATCACTGTGGCTCTCTGCTAAGCCCTGATAAGTGTTGCTAGCCACCTGCGAGGCCCAGCTAAGCTTTGATAAGCCCTATCAAGCCCTACCAGCCCCTGATATGCCCTGCTGGGACCTGCCAATCTTTGCTAACACATGTTAGCCTTGCTAAGTTGATAGCCTGTTAAGCCATGCGATGGCTGCTAAGTCATGC